ATATATATATAACTGACAACTAATGAAAATCCCAAATTCCCTATAGTTATTGTAATTCAGTACAGTTTATTGATAACTAGTGTGTCTCAGAAACAACAGCAGCTGTTAACATTTTAAATCAGATTCTGAGATTAGTGACGTTGCATGCCTCCTGATTCAGGGTGGAGTCCCTCTGAGAGACATCTTTCATCTGGAGACAACACAAACAGTCTGAAAAATGACCCCTCCCCTCCCCTCAAAAACAAAACAAAACAAAAAAAGCTGAAACAGGTGGGATTATATACTGCGTGTTTGCTCCATTGACCAGAATCCTCTGCAGACAAATCTGATCTCATCTGTTGGCTCAGGGTGCTTTCCTTGTCAGTTGCTTTTTTCTCAGCTCTGATTGGTTGATTTGTGCAGCTTTTGGTCTGAAAATGATTTTCTGTCAGCAGCCGAAGTGCAGTGTGGAGCGCTGATTGACACATCTGATTGTGTAAACCTACTGGGAGGATCAGCTGGCATCTGTTTCTACTAGTTCATGCACAAACCTTCAAAATAACATCCTGTACACTTTCAGGCAATATCACAGGTGCCAAGCTTGGAGTTTGTGTTATGGAGGACTGTCAGCAACTACCACATGAGATTGTAGCTTAACCTCTGTGAAATAGACTTAGCTATGGGTCATCTTGACCCAAAAGTAACAGCAAGAGGATTTTAGCTGTGGAAGACGTTGTCAAAAAATACAACAGAAACCCCTTCAGTGTCCATGTAATAATACTCTTAAATATTTAAAAACATTTCCACTGTTTCATATCTGTGGGTGTTTTTCATTTCAGGCCAAAAGGCCTCCAAATGAAAGCAGAAGGAAGTGAGTGTTGGGGTTAAAGTCTAAAAGAAATGTGCTGAACCAAAAGGTTTAGAGTTATGGAAAACAATGAATCTGGATCCGATCCAACATGTTGGTACCACCATTAGCATCGTGTGTTGGTGTCAATTCTTAGTCATCCAGGACATGAATGTAGAAAACAGAGGAGGCAGTTGGACTTCAGTTCTGTAGCTGAAGGTGGATCTGTGTCCCCCTACATCAACATGATCAATCATCATGAATCATCATGATGATTGATCATGATTGATCAATCATCTCTCTCRCTCTCGCTCTCTCTCACTCTCGCTCTCGCTCTCCCCCCCTCCCTCTCCCTGGAATATGTGTTAATTTTTGTGTTTCAATTTTGTAGACTTTATCTGTCCTCCTATACCCAAGAGTGAATTTTGCCCCCACCAAGCAACTTTTAAGATTTTCTTCTGAATTTTACCTTCTGGATACGTTGCTTCTCACCATCTGCACCAACAGCAGCCCCTCTGGTCCTTCTCTCCTGACTCTCAGCAGGAGATCCTAGACATTGTCAGAAAGATGAAGCCCACTACATGTTCCCTGGACCCTTTCCCTTCAAGTCTAGTCAAGACAAATATTTCAACCATCAGTCCACCAATCAGCATCATCACTAAATTTCTTTTCAGTCTAGTTCTATTCTAGCACCACTTAAATGCTGCCATCACTAAACCTCCCCTGAAAAAAAAAACTGTCTGGATCTAGAATTTTTTACAAACTACGGACAAATAGCCAACCTCCTCTTCTTCTCAGAAGTTCTGGAGAAAGTTTTTGCTGCACAACTAAATAATTACCTCAATTCAAATCATCTGTTTGAAAAGTTTCTATCCAGTTTCCACGCTTCACACTCCTCTGAAGTAGCTATGATTTGAGTCACCAATGACCTGTTGATGGCAGCAGATGCAGACTCACCATCTCTTTTAATCAATCTTGACTTGTTGTCAGCATTTAATACCATTGATCACAACATCAATTAATATATAGGACTGAGCAGTAAGCTTTAAATCGTATTATTTACCAAAAGAATTCACCAGTGTTATTTTGGCAACTGTTTACATTCCACCATTAGCTGTTGAGGACACAACATGTCATGTCATCAGCTCAGTGGGTGCTAAGCTACAGACAAAACACCCTAGTGCATTTGTGGCAATGTCTGGTGATTTTAACCATGTCTCACATTCTGCTACACTTCCAACATTCCAACATTTTGTCATCTGCTCTACCAGAGAAATCAAAATGATGGATATCTGTCCGTCCGTTCTTTTTCTTCCACTTATCCAGGATCGGGTCATGGGGCAGCAGCCTAAGCAGAGAGACCCAGACTTCCCTCTCCCCAGCCACTTGGGCCAGCTCATCCCAGGGAATCCCAAGGTGTTCCCAGACCAGCCGATAGACATAGCCCCTCCAGCGTGTCCTGGGTCTTCCTCTGGGCCTCCTCCCAGTGGGACATGCCCGGAACACCTCACCAGGGAGGCGTCCAGGAGGCATCCTAACCAGATGCCCGAGCCACCTCAACTGGCTCCTCTTGATGTGGAGGAGCAGCGGTTCTACTCTGAGTCCCTCCTGGATGACTGGGCTCCTCACCCTATCTCTGAGGGAGAGCCCAGACACCCTGCGGAGGAAACTCATTTTGGYTGCTTGTATCCACAATCTCGTTGTTTCAGTCACTACCCAAAGCTCGTGACCATAGATGAGGGTAGGAACGTAGACCGACAGGTAAACAAGAGCATTGCGTTCTGGCTCAGCTCCCGCTTCACCACGACAGACCGGTACAGCGCCCACATCACTGCAGAAGCAGCACCAATCCGCATGTCGATCTCCCGCTTCATTTTTCTCTCATTTGTGACCAAGACCCGGAGATACTTGAACTCCTCCACTTGGGGCAGGACCTGCTCCTCGACCCGGAGGTGACACGCAACCGGTTTCTGGCTCAAGACCACGGTCTCGGATTTGGAAGCACTGATCCTCATCCCGGCCACTTCAAAATGCTGGATATATTTTATATAAATATCAAGGATTCATATATCTGTAAAGCAAGACCTCCTCCTGGCAAATCAGATCACAGTCTTGTGTATCTCTGCTTAGAATATAAAACACTTGTTCTGTGTAACAACACCATCCCAACCAAAACTGTGAGATGCTTCCCCATTAACAAACCTTGGATCACCTATGACCTGAAGGAACTGCTAAACAAGAACAAAAGAGTGTTCAGGGAGAGGGAATTATTGAGAAATATACAGAAGCAGTTTAAAGTCAAGATCAGAGAGGGCAAGGAGGTTTACAGAAGGAAGCTGTAAAGCAGTGGTTCTCAACCTTTTTTGGGCCAGCGCCCCCCTAGCCATAATTGAGGACCCCCCCCCCCGCAATTAAAAAAGTCATAGACGACCTGCATTAAAAATGATTTTTTTATTATTAGGATTGCCATGAACAATGGCAACCTATTATTATCCACCTCTAAACTGGACTCTTTATTTATTTATTATTCATCCCAGAACTTTTACCGAACAGTGTTATTGAAGACATCCTGTCTGGTTCCAGTACCAAAGAAAACTCACCCATCTACCCTCAACGACTGTAGACCTGTTGCCCTGACATCCCATCATGAAGGTCCTAGAGAGACTCCCGTTGAGTAAGCACACAAGCACACATCAGGACCCCCTGCATTTTGCTTATCGTCATGGAGTTTGAGTTGACGACGCCATCATACACCTGCTTCAACAAACCCACTGTCATCTGGACAAAGCAGGCAACACTGTGAGGATCATGTTCTTTGATTTCTCCAGTGCTTTTAACACAATTCAGCCTGATTTACTTTGTCTGAAACTCCAGAAGACTCCGGTGGAGGCCTCAACAATCRCCTGGATCAAAGACTACCTGACAAACAGACCACAGCTTGTGAAACTGAAGGACTGTGTGTCTAACTAGGTGGTCAGCAGCACAGGGGCACAACAGGGGACTGTACTCTCACCATTCCTGTTCACACCTCAGACTTCCAGCACAAGTCAGACTGCTGTCATCTACAGAAATACTCAGATGACTCTGCAATTGTTGGGTGTATTAGAGATGGACAGGAAGCTGAGTACAGAGAGTTGGTAGACTGATTTGTGGCATGGTGTGGGAACAATCATTTAATCTTGAATGTGAACAAAACAAAGGAGATGATAGTTAATTTCAGGAGAAACAGGAACAGGTCCAACACTATTTTTATCATGCGAGAAGAAGTGGAGGAGGTGGAGGAATATAAATGCCTTGGGGTTCACCTTGACAAAGGACTAGATTGGAGATGCAACAGTGCAGCCATCTACAAGAAAGGACAGAGCAGACGAAGAAGATAATTCAATGTCTGCAACGAGATGCTGCAGATCTTCTATAAGTCTGTTGTTGAGTGTCACCTCTTCTGTTGTCATTCGTTGAAGAAGCAGCACCAGAGCAAGTAACTCAACAAGCTAATTCCCTAGAGCCTGTGGAGATGATTGTGCAAAGAAAGATGTCATCAAATGAAGAGCATTATGGGCAATCCTGAGCACCCTCTTCATCAGACTGTCACACTACAACAGATTGTCTTTGGTCAGAGGCTTCTTCAGATCTGCTGACACTTGACCGACACTTTTCATTTCCTACCACTTGGACAGCCGCCATGGAATATCCTTCCGCTGCTATGTAGATGACACTCAGGTTTATATAAAAACAGACCTTCATCCATCTGCTTCTTTAGCTACACCAAGGCCTTAACTGATTTTAGTTTTTATTTTTGTTCATTCATTTTGTTTTTATGAATCCTGAAATGCAGTACTTTTAGATTTTCCAAATTTAAAGTTCTCTATCAGTAGAATTCTTTATTATTAATATTACAAAAAAATTAGTTTTT